GCATCAGACCAGCCTATTCAATGCCAGCATAACTGAATTCATATCAGATTTTTCTATCTGATTTAATGCCCATGGGCTAAAAATTTGTATTGGATGTAAAAATCTGATATAAAATCAGTTATTTCAACATTAAATAGGTTGGGCTGATGCAATATCTGTTATGATAGATATAACATAATTCTAGGTAGATATAATATCACTCCTGATAGATATAATACCAGTTTTGCCTGATGTAAAATCAGATTTTTTCATCTGATGTAATGCCAGATGTGGGAATCTGATATAATCACATTTGCAGTGAAATCCCTTGACGAGATGAAGGAAGCAATCAAGCTTGGTTGGGATGACATCCCTGCTGATCACCTCAGGAATTTAGTTCAATCAATGCCCAATCGAATGCGCCTGGTTGTAGAGGCCTCTGGTGGTCCAATAAAATATTAATTTTTAATAGGGAATTAATAAAAAAACACAGTTTTTACGCGTTTACACACTGTTTTGCTGCGGCACAGCACACACGGTTTCCGCGTTTACACACGGTTTTGTAATTAATTTTTTATGGGTTATTTTTCGAGTTTTTTTGAATTTTTAAAGTTGTTTCCTACACTTTGAAAGGTATAGAATTTAATGGTAAAAACCATTTTGCATAAAAATGAATTTTAATGGGCCTTAATAAAAAAACCCGCATTTTCCGCGTTTTGACGCGGTTTCTGCTTCGCGCAGCACACGCGCATTCCGCGTTTTTTCTTTGCTGTTAATTTTAATTTTTTTTAATTTTTTAAAATTGTTTCCTACACTAAAAAACGTGTAGAATTTAATGGTAAAGTCCATTTTGCATAAAAATGACTTTTGATTCTTAATTTTTTTTTTCCACTCATTTTTTCCGTTAATTGTTTGCTTTAAGTTTTTTTACCTCATTTTTCAAGATTTTGTGTAACTTTAAGGTTGTTTCCTACATTATTAAGTGTGTAGAAATTTATGGTGAAATCCAATTTTCATAAAAATGAATGGATCATTTTTAATAATGCAATTACACCCATTTTTTCACTTAAATTTTTAGAGCTCAATTTTCATTCTTTTTTCACATTTTAAACTTTTTTCCTACACTTTCAGACATGTATAAATTTACGGTAAAAATTATTTTGCATCAAAGTGAGAACTACATCTTGTATACTGCATTTGACATTATTTAATTCTTCACCTTTTCACTCAATTGTTTGGATTAATTTTTTTACCTTATTTTTTCTGCTTTTTTGAAATTTGAAAGTTGTTTCCTACATTTCAAAGTGTTTAGAATTTACTGGTAACATTAAATTTCCATAAAACTCAACGGTTCATTCTGAATACTGTAATCAGCCTTAAAATTCAATTGATTTTTAAGAACTTAATTTTCATGATTTTTTGACATTTTAAATTCATTTCCCACACTTTGAGACATGTTAAAAATGATGGTAAAAATAATTTTGCATCAAAATAAAATCTGTATCTTGAATAATGCCTTTGACGTGTTTCCTTAATTAATGCTTACACACTTAATTATCCTTATTT